TCTTCCCCCTATTCTACCCCCACCCACTCAACTTCCTGTTCCCCCATGACCTACTCTGTCTTCCTCTTCTCCCCCTCTCTTCTTCCCAGCTCCCACTCCCCCCACCCCTCACCATGTTCCCCATCCATTCAGAGGATCTTGTCTTGAAAGACCCCAGGCGGGGGACTTTCACGGGAGGGAGACCCGAACCCAAGGAACAACGAGACCACGAGCTTGGATGCAACAGCAAGAGGCTTTATTGATAATACACGAGTACCCGGGGCATCTCAGTCTCGGGAACTGAGAGCCCCGAGCTGGGGACTCAGGGGTTCTTTTATAGCAAAAAGCGCAGTACAGAAGCGAGAAGCCTAGTTACAGGACCCTGATTGGGCAATTTAAATGAGGCTGGGGCTCAGAACGAGGGCAATTAAGGTTTCTCTCGGAACTCAAGTCTCGGCCTTGGCCCTATCTGAGGAACAATAGGTCTCTGTGCTTGCCCAATCTTGCTGGGCTGGCCATCTGGTCACAGCAGACACCCAAAGCCCGTGTCCTTGGGCAGAGCTCCCTTCTGATAGCAAGGACTATTCAGCTGTGGGGGTAACGGAATTTTTCATAAGCCTCAGCTGCCTGCCTGTGTAGACTGGGCCGGGGTCTTTCATTCCCCCATTGCTCTTGTAACTAAATGGAATCTTTCATTCAAGGGTTTCTGCCATCTCGAGATCCCTTTGCTTTAGCTGCTGGTATTGTTGAGTCAAGACCAGTGATTGTACCCTTTCTTTTATGAACTGGGTCAGTCTGTTTAAGATGTATGGCCCAAGCATCAGAACCAAAAGTATAATGATCAGGGGTCCCAATTCGATCCCCGGCATCTCCACCAGATCACATAGATCAAAATACAGGGTGGGGAAGGTGTCTGTCAGAGCCCCAAGTTGGGAACTCAGGCTTGCAGTCTATCCCGTCCCCAGATTGGTTATCACCCAAGTAATATTGAATACTCGGTGAGGACTTCCCTCAATAAGGGGAAAGGTAAGCATGAAGCATAAGAAGGCAATCAAACAACTCGGGAGAGTCTTATCTTTAGAAGATTTTGAGTGCGTTGGGCCTTTCATCCTGAGTCCGGTTCCTCAGGGGAGGCAGCTTTCACATGCGAGGCGTGTATCCAAGCAGCAATCCCGTCCACCTTGAGAGCAGTAGGGGTGGTCAACAGGACCGTGTATGGTCCCTTCCAGCGGGGTTCAAGGTTCTTAGCCTGGTGGCGTCGGACCCAAACGCTGTCTCCCACGTAATAGGAGTGGGGGACGATAGGGTGTCTCCTCTGGTCTCGGTAGGCTTGGGCCAGGGGCTTCCAGACTTCCTGCTGGACCAGCTGTAGTGCCTGCAGGTGAGCTTGAAGAGAGGAGGAATTGGCATAGTCAGAAATATCTTGGTCAAAGAACTGAACAAAGGGAATGGTGGTTCCATGTAAAATCTCAAAAGGGGTGAGGCCATGGGGGCCCGGTGTATTCCGGGCACGATAGAGGGCAAGGGGGAGCAAGAGGACCCAGTCTTTAGTGCCAGCTGCAAGCGATAATTTAGTTAGAGTCTCCTCAATGGTTCTATTCATTTGCTCTACCTGTCCTGAGCTTTGGGGTCAGTAAGCACAGTGTAATTTCCAATCAATCCCCAACAAGGTGGCCACAGACTGACTTACCTGAGAAACAAAGGCAGGCCCATTGTCTGTCCCCAATACCTGTGGCATTCCGTAACGGGGGAAGATTTCTTCAAGAAGTTTCTTGGTGACCACCTTCGCCGTCTCGTGCTTGGTGGGGTAGGCTTCAGTCCATCCCGAGAAGGTGTCAACAAAAACCAGGAGGTCTGTGAGATCTATTTCCCAGTGCACCCCAGGCCGGTGCCCCCGAGCTCGGGTCCCCATGGGTAGCTTTAGCCTGGTCGCATTTACGCGGGCGCAGGCGTCACATCGCTCAGTCACTTGCTTTAGTATTTTCCCAACAGGTGGCGGGTATTTTCTTCCCGGGCTAATAGTTCTTGCATTTTCCTGGAGCTCAAATGAGTGAGTTTGTGTAGGCTGCTAACCAGACTACAGCTGCTTGAAGGAGGTGACTGCTGTTTCCCATGGCCAGGGCAGCCTCCCGGGCGGCCTGGTCTGCCCTCCGGTTTCCCCGGGCGACTGGGCTGTCACCTTTCTGATGCCCTGAGCAATGTATGATGTCGTGACAAAGGCATAACGGCTGTCTATGTAGACAGTAAGTTTCTTACCTTCCGCCAGCTTCAGAGCCTGTGTTAACAGAGGTGGGACCTAGTCACGTAAGATACCAGAGGCTGCTGGCACTCGCAGCCGCTCCTGCTTTCCACTCGGCTCCCGGCCTCGGGCTGCGCGGCTTCCGCCGCTCCTTCCTCAGCGTCGTTGCGCTTCTGCCCTGCCCGGGAGAAGCCATCCGCAACCCCGCTCCATCCCCCCCATAGCGCGCGCCCGCGGAGCGTTCCCGAGCCGCCGCGCAGCTGTTCCCGCAGCCTTGGCTCTCTCCCTCCCTTGATGTATAAAGCTGCTTTCGTCCGTGAACCAGACGTAGTCGGGGTTGGGAAGGGGTTGATCCGTGAGGTCAGCTCTCATCCCATGGACCTCAGCCAGGTCCTGCAAGCAGTCATGAGTCTCTGCTTCCCCCGGGAAGGGGAAGTAGCGAGGCGGGGTTTAGGGTCACTGGAGCCCCGAAGTGAATTCGGTCCTTGTCCAGCAACAAAGTCTGGTAATGAGTCATCCTGGCATTGGTGAGCCAGCGGCCCGGTGGCTGCCTGATGACTGCCTCCATAGCATGGGGGGGCATAAATAGTCAAAGGCTGCCCCAAAGTCAATTTATGAGAGTCCTTTATGAGAACTGTGGTGGCGGCGATCATGCGGAGACATGGGGGCCATCCTGACGCTACGGGGTCTAATCTCTTAGATAGGTAGGCGACCGGTCGTCTCCAGGGCCCAAGTTTTTGAGTTAGGACCCCCTTCGCATAACCCTCTTGCTCAGCCACGAATAAGTCAAAGGGTTTAGTCAGATCAGGTAACCCCCGAGCTGGGGAGCAGAGCAGAGCCTTCTTGATGTCCATGAAGGCTTTTTCCTGGCTCTCCCCCCAGTCAAAGTCAGCCCCCGTCTTGGTGAGGGGGTACAGGGGTGCTGCCATTTCCGCAAACCCGGGGATCCACAGTCTACAGAAACCTGCCGTTCCCAAGAATTCCCGCAGTTTTCGGGGGGTCTTGGGAGGAGGGATGTCAAGTATGGCCTGTTTGCGGGCTTCTGTTAGCCAACGTTTCCCATCCTGGATTTTGTACCCCAAGTAGGTGACCTGTGTCCGGCAGATTTGGGCCTTCTTGGCAGAGGCCTTATACCCCAAGTCTCCTAAAGTCTTTAAGAGAGCTTCTGTCCCCCTAGAGCATTCCTCCTCTGTTTTGGTGGCTATCAGGATGTCATTGTAAGAGGATGACCTCAGGATGGTGGACTCTAAACCCGGCCAAATCCTGATGCAAGGCCTCATCAAAGAGGGTGGGGCTATTTTTGAACCCTTGGGGCAACCTAGTCCATGTAAGTTGTCCCGAGATTCCCAGGTCTGCATCCTGCCATTCAAAGGCAAACAGTGGCTGACTGTCTTTGGGTAATCGCAGGCAGAAGAAGGCCATCCTTTAAATCCAGGACTGAGTACCATACATAGTCAGGTGGCAGTCCACTCAGGAGGTTATAGGGATTGGGGACTGTGGGGTGTATGTCCTCAACCCGCTCATTGACTTCCCGGAGGTCCTGGACCGGCCTATAGTCATTGGTTCCGGGCTTCTTGACTGGCAGCAGGGGAGTGTTCCAGGGGGACCGGCAGGGAGTTAGAATGCCCTGCTCCAGTAGCCTCTTAATGTGAGGTTTGATCCCATCGCGGGCCTCCCGGGACATGGGATATTGTTTAATTGAGGCCGGGAGAGCAGATGCCTTTAAATGGACTATGATGGGAGCCTGTTGGAGGGCTAGTCCCATTTCTCCAGTTTCTGCCCAGGACTGGGGAAAGTCAGTCAGCCAGCGGTCTTTGACCTTAAAAGAGTCATCCTTGGGCTCATGTATTCTATATTACTCTTCTAAGGCTATGGTCAGCACCGTGAGTGGAGCCCCTTCTGGCCCCGTGACTCTTATGTTGGCTTTCTCAAAATGTACTTGATCCTTTAACTTCGTTAGGAGGTCTCGACCCAGGAGGGGGTATGGACAGTCAGGAACATGTAAAAAGGAGTGCATCACCTTACCGGTCGCTAGGTGGAGCTGGAGGTCCGTGGTCCATCGATACTGCTTCCCGCCGATGGCCCCCTTTGTTCCTCTCTCTACCTATCCTGTCTCTGACATTCTGTCTCCCTCTTTTCTCTCTCTCTAATTTCCTGTGCTTCTCTTTTATTAAAAATGCGTTCTGCCTCCCTCAATACATCTGGTAGTGTACACCCCTGTCATATGGGGTATACATTCTGTAAGCTTCCTTAAGTCTTTCTAAAAATGGCTGGCGATTCCTCTGCCTTCTGAACTCTCTGTCTTACCTGGGCCAAATTTGTAGATTGCTTACCCGTCTCTCGGAGACTCGCTACAAGCAACTGGCAATAAAGACGGGGCGGTCAAGGGAGAAAGCAGCATCAATTTCATTTGGAAGCTGTGTAGGTTGTCCATTTGCCCCAGGAACTTTTTTTTTCTTTTCTTTTCCCGGGCTTCAAGAAGGACCCGCTGTAGTGAGAACCGATTCTAATAGATCAGTCAGTCTCACGGGGTCTGCTGAAAAGGAAGGGTTATTATTTTTCCAGTTATAAAGATCTGAGGCAGAGAACGGCCAGTACTGCAACTGGCCATCGGGGCCCATACGGGGAGGCAGGGCGGTTGACCGGAGCGGGCTGAGGCTGCGGCGCCACCCGGAAGAGCCGGAACGGCCGCAGGGGAGCGGGGCGAGGGGCGTGGCGGCCACTCTCTGTCCGTACTCAGTCCACCGCGGGCCGCGGCAGTGAGAGCGCCGAATCCTAACCATTAGACCACCAGGGAGGCAGACGAAGCTCCCCTCGCACGGCCGCCGGTCGCGCTGTCACACTCAGGGCGCCCTTCCCGCAGCAGCCGGGACGCTGAACGCGAACCGGAAATGAGCCGCAGCCCGAGCGGTGTCTGCAGCTGCGGCGGTGGCGGGGGTTAGGGAAGAGAAGGGGGAGGGAGGGTCATAGATCAGCACTTCCCAGGTAACTATATAGGGTACTTGGTCCGGGTGGCCCTGGGGTCCAGGATCCATGACTTTCTCCTTCACCTGGAAGATAATTTGAGGGTTAAAGGTGCCATCTCGTGGCCAGCCAACATCAAAAGTTGGCCATTCAGAAGAGCAAAAGGTGATCCATTGCTTCTTGCGCGCATCGACAGACCGGTTGTGAGCGTATTCCTGAACCTGTTGCCAATGTGAAAGGGTTAGGCTAGGCGGAGTGGTAACTGTCTGGCCCATTTTCTCGAGAGCGATGACAAACGACACTAAGACGGATGAACAGATAAGAAACAAAAACAAACAGATTTTCGCTGCGCGGCTTTGACGAAAGTCAAAAGCAAATTCAGATCGGGGACGGGGGCCTTGTGCTCTCGTCCTCGTCCCCTACCAGGATGGAAAATCCCTCGGCCAGTGGGACTTCCCCAAACAGACGGGGCAGATTCCTAGGCATCTACCCCAAACAGACGAGTCCCTAAGGACTCCAGAAACAGACGGGGCAGATTCCCCAAACAAACGGGGCAGATTCCTAGGCATCTACCCCAACCAGACGAGTCCCTAAGGACTCCAGACGCTACCAGGATGTCTCCTGGAGCTGCGGTCGGGAGTACGAATCTGTCAATTCCTCCTCGGTGCCGCCAGATACAGATGTATACAGCTGTATACTACAGACGCAGGCGCGAGAAAATAACAGGCATAGACAGACAGCAGACAACAGAAACAACAGAAATTGAGTCCGGACAATTCTTACCTCCCAGAAGTGGGTCGGTGGTCCCTGGGCGGGGGTCTCAATTCCCGGCCAACGCACCAAATGAAAGACCCCAGGCGGGGGACTTTCACGGGAGGGAGACCCGAACCCAAGGAACAATGAGACCATGAGCTTGGATGCAACAGCAAGAGGCTTTATTGATAATACACGGGTACCCGGGGCATCTCAGTCTCGGGAACTGAGAGCCCTGAGCTGGGGACTCAGGGGTTCTTTTATAGCAAAAAGCGCAGTACAGAAGTGAGAAGCCTAGTTACAGGACCCTGATTGGGCAATTTAAATGAGGCTGGGGCTCAGAACGAGGGCAATTAAGGTTTCTCTCGGAACTCAAGTCTCGGCCTTGGCCCTATCTGAGGAACAATAGGTCTCTGTGCTTGCCCAATCTTGCTGGGCTGGCCATCTGGTCACAGCAGACACCCAAAGCCCGTGTCCTTGGGCAGAGCTCCCTTCTGATAGCAAGGACTATTCAGCTGTGGGGGAAACGGAATTTTTCATAAGCCTCAGCTGCCTGCCTGTGTAGACTGGGCCTGTAAGGACCCCAAACATATACTAACCCCCACAACAAGACAGGTTTTATCTTGTAGCCTTGGCTGTCTTGGAACTCACTTTGTGGACCTGGCTTGCCTCAAGCTGTCTCTTACTTTCAGGTACTGGGATTAAAGGTGACTAGCACTGGCCAATGGCCATGCATTTCCTTAGTAGTTACATATTGATTGAGGGAAGGACCAGCCCATTTTGGGTGATGGCATCATTGGGCTTGTGGCCTGAGTTCTATAAGATAGCAGGTTGAGCAAGCCCTGGGATAGAAACCAGTAGCAGCATCCTACATGGCCTTTGCATCCGCTCCTGCCTTCAGGCTCCTGCCCTTCTTGAGGTCATGTCCTGACTCTGATGATGAATGGTGACATGGAAGTATAATCCAAATAAACCCTTCCCTCCTTAATTTGCTTTGTTTATGGTGTTTTCTCACAGCATTAGCAATACTAACCTTTTTATTTGTTTACCTGGACAGTCACCCAGAGTCTCACACTAATGTCGAGGCAGCCAACTTTGGTTAAGCCCTGGAATATCTGACAGACCATTTCAGAAAAAGAGAGATTGGAAAGACTGTCCTACCCTGTCTTGGTATGGATCAGTCATTGCTTTTGCTTGCATCCCGATTGTCCAGTTTGAACAGTGTGCCTGTTCTCAGCAGTCATGCAAGGGAAATTCTTTGCCCAACAGGTCTGGTCTTGCCAAGAAGAAAATAAAGTCCAAATGAAGCATCTCCGGTGTTCATCATTGTCTAGGAAAAATGACTCAGTGCTGTCAGGAGCAGTCATGTCCCAGGTCAGCAGAGTTCTAAATTATTAAAATGTTTAAATGCCATATTCTGTAGGTCTTTGAAGTGTTTGAAGATCAATTATTTATGCTGAGTATATCTCTCTGCATCTAGAGAACCAAATAACATACCTAGGTAATACAAGAATGGATGACTATTATAGAAAATTCTCAATAAACTTCATAGCTATTCACCAATTCTTCAGATAAAAAATAAACAACCTAGCAGCCAGATCGACTCCCCTCCACCCCCAGACAGACAACCAAGTAACCAGGAGCCTGCAGAGAGAGCTGCTCCACTTCCACCCAAGCCCAGGGCAGAGGGCAGAGGGCAGAGGGCAGAGGGCAGAGGGCAGAGGGCAGAGGTGAGCACTCTCACACTCTCTTGGATTCCCTGGCTTGCGGACTGAAGCCAGGTCAACCCCCCACATGGACGACCAAGTGAACAGGAGCCTGAGGTCAGAGAGCAGAGGCCAGAGAGTATTGGATTAGCTTGCACTCACCAAAAGGGAACCCTGGTCACCTATCCACCAGGAGAGGAAGAGGCTCTTTCTACACCCACTGGAAGAAGTGATGGGGAAAAGGCAATATAAGAACACACTCAGCAACAGAAAAACAAAAATGACACCACCAGAGACCAGAGTCTAGAGATTCTACATCAGTAAGACTTGAACACCCCAATGCCGACGAAGCAGAAGGGAATGACCTTAAAAACACCTTCATGAAAATGATAGAGGCCTTCAAAGAGGATTGAGAAAATCCCTTAAAGAAATGGAAGAAAAAACAAACCAAAAAATGCAAGAAATAGAAGAAAAAACAAACCAAAAATCCAACAAATAGAAGAAAGGGAGGAAAACACGAAAGCAAAAATTACAAGAAACAATTCAAACAATGCAGGGATTGAAAGCTGACATGGAGACAATGAAAAAAAAAACACAGTCTGAAGGAATGCTAGAAATTGAAAAACTAGGGAAATGGACAGGTACTACTGATGCAAGCATAACCAACAGAATACAAGAGATGGAAGAGAGAATCTCAGGTGTTGAAGATACATTAGGAGAAATAGATTAATCAATCAAAGAAAATCTACGTTAGGAGAAATGGATTCATCAAAGAAAATCTGAAGTCAAACAAATCCCTAACACAAAATATCCAGGAAATATGGGACACTGTGAAAAGTTCAAACCTAAGAATAATAGGTATAGCTCCACCCACGGAACTAGGACTAGAGCAGCTGCCTGTGCTTGGGGTCTACCACTGCATCTTCCATCCCCACAGTGAGAACCAATGCACCATAGTCTCCTGCTCCACCCACGGGCCCAGGTAAACCAGGACCCCTGTCTGCACCGCCTGCCTGGACCTGGGCTCTAACACAGAGGCCTACATCCCAGGTGGCAACGGTAGGAGTCACAGTGCCCTAGGTTCCTGCTGAACCCACGGAACTAGGACTAGACCACCTGCAGGTGCTTGGGGACTGCCACTGCAGCTTCCATCTCAGGGAAAGGAGCAAACTCACCCCAGCACCCTAGTCTCCTGCTCCACCCATGTGACTAAGACTATCAGGGCCTGTCTCCAGGCCACACTCCTGTGCCTGGGGTATACCACTGGGGCTCCAATCCATCCCGGTGGGATCCAAAGCACCCCAGCATCATAGTCTATTTCTCCACCCAGGAGACCAGGAACTGGAGAGCTACCACAACAGTGAACTTGCCTACACATACCAGAAGGGAACCCTGTTCCCACACCCACCAGGAGAGGAAAAGGCACCCTCTGGAACCCAAAGCAAGAACAGATTGGAAGGAGACAATAAAAATCACAAGGAGCAATAGACACAGCCAGAGTCCAGAGACCCTACACCAACTAGTGTTCACCATGGCATACAAATGAACTTTGGGAGCCCATTCTACATGGAGGGATGCTCTCTCAGCCTGGACACATGGGGAAGGGCCTAGGTCCTGCCCTGGATGACATGACAGACTCTGGCAATCTCCGCAAAGACGGCCTCACCCTCCCTGGGAAATGATGTGGGGAGTGGGCTAGGGGTGGGGGTGTGGCTGGTGGAGGGAGAAGGGGGAGCTGGGATTGACATTTGAAGCATGCATGTTTAAATTTAAATAAAAACATACTTATAAAAACAACAATATACCTCAAATTCAGTAAAAATATGAAAAAGCAATCTTTAAACAGGACTACAGCAATAGGACAATGTCCTGGAAATTGTGTGTGTGTGTGTGTGTGTGTGTGTGTGTGTGTGTGTACACAGCCAATATAGCTAGAACTATACAGTGCAAGATGGCAAAAAATCCTTAATTTGTATCAATATACAAAATATGTTAAGCATAGGTAGAAACATAAATACATAGTACCATATGAGAACATAACTTTATATTTGTATATAAAATATTTTAAGCAGAAATAGGAATATAAATGATATAAGAAATATAATGGTGAATTTGTATCAATATACATTATTATCTGAAACAGAAATAAAAAATAATTTTACATATGTACCAATATAGAAGCATCTATGTCAATATAAATTGTCTCTAACTAATAGTTGCTAAAATAGTTCACAGGATCCACTAATCTGCTGAGCACTGGTGGCTCACACTATAATTCCTAGCACTGTTGTTGTATCCTGTTTGTACAACATAAGTAGGTTTATGGTTGGTTTCTGAGACTGAAGGAAGGTTATTCTGGGTATTCCATTGCTGCAACTGACCATGAACCCATAGATTCAAAGCTACACTAGCCACATATAACCTCAGATTTTTTTTGTCCTTCAGACCCTATACATTCAACTCATGTCATTCTTTCTTTTACGTGAGATAAGGTTCCAATCCCTAAGAATTGAATGTCTTCCTCTTGAAGAGGCCAATTCAGGGCCAAGATTACAGAGTGATAATAGTCACATCTGCACCTGACACCAATAATCCCTCAATTACAATGTTATTTATCTGTACTCTTAGCTTTGTTATTTGCCCTTTAGAGAAGCTTGCCAAAATATGCATTGTCTCTTTCCTGGAATTTTTGATACATCCTCCAAAGCCATTCTATGATCCAGAGCAGTATGATTTTTTACAATAGGAACTGGATTTTTTAATTGTTCTTCGGAAGGTATGTTTTCAAGACACCCAGATATATTTGAGGTAGTCAGGTGGTCTTCAAACACTTCAGTGACCTGCAGAATATGACTTTTAAAAATCTTTTAATATGATAGGGTTTTTTTGACACCGAGACATGTCTTCTCCTTTCAGCAACAATGTCCCTTCAGAGAAGATGATGGCAGTGAAGAAACTGAGTTTACTTTCTTTGTGTCAAATGTTAGCCACTGGGCAAGAAAGAGCTCTTGCCTCAATTGCTGACAGCATGTCACCCAAATTGGACAAGCAGCACACAAAAGAATGTGACTGACGAAGTTTACCAAGAAAAGGAAGGACAGCCCATGAGAATATCCTGTTTTATAGAAAAGTCTGCCAGATATTCTAGGCCATGTGGACAGAAGATGGTTGCCCCAACATTGCAGAGGAGCTGTAAGTGACTGTCCAGGCAGCGGGGTGTGCCTGACATTTCTCACATATTTTGGAAGCCGCTTGTTGCACATCCTGCTTACTCAGGAAACATTATTTCCTTCTCGGGGCTCTGACGTAGGTTTGAAGAATTTATACTTACAGTTTTCCTAGAAGCAGATTCAGTAAAGACATTCACTAAAGAAAGGTTAAGTGTATAAGTTTCAGGGATGTACAGATACTTTTGATAATGCAAGACGGAATAGAAAGTGAATTATGTACAACCTTTTGGAACCATTGAAATCGGATAGATAATGGAATATTTTCTCTGAATTTGTCAAATAATATTTTAAATATTTATGGACTGGACATTTTCGAAGTATTTATCACCTGGATACAATATATATATGTATATTTGTTTCATATGGTTTTTTATATTTTCATATTTGTTATCAGCTTTTTAAATTTTTAGCCAGAAGGGGGGAAAATGAAATTTTGTTTGTGCTCTAATAAAGCCTACCTGAAGATCAGGGGGTGGAGGGAGACAACAGTTAACCATAGAGGCCAGGCCTTGGAGATGCACACATTTAACCCCCCTCCACTTGGGAGGAGGAAGCAGAAGGATCAGGTGGTCAAGGCCACTCTGGGCTACACCAAATTGAGTCACTCTAAAAAGAAAGAGCTGGGTGGTGGTGGCTCACACCTCTGATCTCAGCTCCTGGGATCTCATGCCTTTGAACCCAGGGCTTGTGAGGCACACTCCTTTAATCCCAGCACTAGGGTGTTGGAGACGGTAGTCCCCACACTAGGGAGGCCAAGACAGGAGTATAAGGTTGGAGAAGACAGGATCTCAGCTTCTTCTGTTGGAGAATTTGAAGAAAGAGTAACCCACACTCCCACCCCTGGTTCTGTCTGAAGACTTGATATTGGAAAGAGTCTTTGTAGTGGATGAATCCTTTACCTCTCTTATCATTCAACATTTACCCACTATCTGACCCCGAGTTTTTACTATTAAAACCAATTAGGATACATGCTACTTAGCACCTTTGACCTCTACACACACACACACACACACACACACACACACACACACACACAAACAGACAGAGAGACAGAGACAGAGAGACAGAGAAGCATACATACACACACCAAACAAAGGTGATAACAAAGGAAGTCATGTCTTCAGAATTCTAGAGTCTGCTGTCCACACCCATCGAGAGCACTATGACATAAGTCACACACCACAAAAAGGGATCATATCTCCAGCAGGGGGCAGGAAGGTCAGATTTTCCTGTGTAGAGACTGTGACATCCTCAAAATACACTTGGCCTCTCTGACCCTTCACTGTTCCGTGCTCCTGGGCATTTCAATCAGGGAGGTCATGCATGTGCCCGATGGGCTCTGACCCACAGACACTCTGGCTTCGTTGACTTTGGTCTCCTAGGATGCCTAATGCCTGCTTCCAGGACACTTTGGCAACACTTCAATTGAGCAGTGAGAGTTAAATGTCCACTGGTTGTTTTCCCCACATTCTCCTTCCAATCAATGCCCTATCTCAAATCCAAAGAGTCCAGACTCCCCTGTGGATTGCAAGAAATTTATTGTTGGAATCCTGGTCTTAGACACCTGGAGGGTAAGGGTAGGGCTTCTTGTATCTATGAAGGTGAGCAGGCATGTGGCTTCATTGAGTCTTCAGGGTGAAGATGGATTCATCAGCAGAATATGTTATCTTCTATTTTCACTTGGAAAGAAAAGGCCGATGAGGCATCAGAAGTGATGGAGATCTCACTGATCATACATAGGACACCAGTTGGGAGGGAGCTGTACCCATCTGCCATAGATCCTGGGTCTGACCAGTCCCAAGAAGCCACCTCCATCATGCCTCCCTCAAACCACATCAGGGCAAACCTTGTAAACAGCCTCCAATCCAGGCTGATGAAAAGAGCCACCTGACCTCGGGGGACCATGAGCACATGAGGGACAGAATGCAGAAGCATCTGGGCAGGACCTGCAGTGGCTCCAGTTGAGCCTCAGGCAGCTATGGCCCCACAAGTGAACTGATTCCTGTCACATGGAGACCCTCAGATACATGACGCTAACCTGGTGACTGATCCTACTACTTCTAGTGAAAACAGAGGACTCAATTACATGCTCCACCTAGGTCACCCAGGCCTAGATCTTACATAGTGGTCTCGGAGATTCAGAGGACAAGAAAAAAATGAGTGTTTTGGGCGTGTGATGGTAGAATTGACAAGTTGGGATAAAAGACCCAGGCTGGAGAAGGTTACCAGGCCCTGTGTTTGTGTGGCTGGACTCTGAAGGCTGAGCCAGAAAGGCTGATGGAGGCCAAGTGGTATTGTGGGGGCAGGGATCCTGCAGGGTCCAGTCTGGTTGGGCTGAGCCGAACAGCCCGGCCTAGTTTAGGCCTCCTGAGTGTCCCTTACTGCCCTATCCTCTTGATACCCTAACCAGGGAGAGGCCTCTTTGTGGATGCACAGAGGAGTTGCAGTGATGGGGAGGAACACATGCTCCATCACCAACCTGGGGTGAGCAGGGCAGCAGACAGACTTCTGGGCAGACACAAGAGAACTCACCAGCAAACTGCAGACACTCTCCTTGTCTTCCTCTGTCAACTTGTTATCCTCACAGGTTTTTAGATTTTCAGCATTTTCCAGTGTGGCATTGTCATCCTTGTATTTCTTCACAAAGTTGATATAGGCATCCCCAGATGGGCCTAGAAAAAGCTCAAGCTCCTCTTTTATAGTCGGGCAAATGCCACAATCTGGAACACAAAGAATAGGTGATCCTCCTTTGAAGCTTAGCATCAGAGCACATGATCCCTTTGGGAAGTGAAGCTGTGAAAGCCCCGGAGACCCCGAATCCCCATCACCCACCTCCCCCGGAGGTCAGGAGCAGGGCAGCCCCAAGCATCGTGAGAGCACCATGGAGCTTCATGGTAATGATGCCAGGTGCTCCTCCCCTGCTCTGGCCCCTTCTATAACTGTCCTGGGATGTCATTGGGCAGGGCCAGACTGTGTCTGAGCCCTTCTAGGCTCCTCCCAGAACACTGTGTGATACTCCCTGGGGTGGTGTCAGGAGAGATGTCTATTTTGGCTAGAGGAGAAGGTCCAGGTCAACAAAGTCCTGGCTCAGCCTGGTTCACTTCTTACTGCTCTGCTTAAGGTCACATGTCATATGAAGACCCAAGGAGATGATGACTTGCCAGCCAGGCAAAAGGACCCTCAACTAGGCCTCCAGAGTGAGGCCTTGGTCACCCTGATTGGCAGGGAACTCAAGAATTACTGAAAAGTCTTCCTTGTAGTCAATGTCTAGGATAGACCAGATCATATTCACTGGGATCCCCTGCTCTGACTGTTTCCATCCCTGCCCCCATCTCTCACTTGCTTCATGGCTTCCCTGAATCCCTCTGTAACTTTGAAGTCTTCCTGATGTTGTAAACACCCTTCAACTTGATCTTTTCCTTGCTGCTGTTGTTTTCTTTGGGACAGTGTCCATAGACATTGCACTCCTGTCCGGAAACATCCCAATACAAACCAGTCTGGCCCTGAACTTACAGAGATCCACCTGCTTCTGCCTCTTGAGGGCTGGGATTAAATGTGTGGTCTACCCAGCCAAAGGTGACCTCTTAATTCCCTTGTTGATGTTTGTGTGATTTGTCAGATAGGATCTTACCCAGGCTAACCTTGTGTTCATAATCGTCCTAAGAATGGAGTGTGTCTGTGTGGGAGGTTGTGTGTATATGGAATGTGTAAGTGGTGTGTGTAGAATGTGGATTTGTGGTATGTATGTGTTTCTGTAGTATGTATGTGTTGTGTGTGTAGCATGCATGTGTGTTGTTTTGGGGAGTGTGTGTAAAGTGTGTGTGTATGGTATGTGAGCCTGTGATATATCTGTGTGCTGTGTGTGGTATGGGTATGTCTGGGTGTACTGTTTGTGTATGTGAATTGTGTGTGGAGTGTGTGTGGGTCATGTGTGTAGTATGTGGATATTTGTTGTGCTTGTGTGTATGGTGTGTGTTCCTGTAGAATGTTTTGTGCCGTGTATGTTGTGTATATCTGTGTTGTTTTGGTTGGTATGTATGTAGAATATGTTTGTGTGTTTGCATGGTATATGTGGGTTGTATATGGCAGGTATTGTGTACAGGTGGTGTACGTGTATAGTTTCTGTGTGTGTGTGTGTGTGTGTGTGTGTCTGTGTGTGTGTGAGTGTGTGTTGTGAGCATGTGGTGAATTCTGCTTTCCCTGTGGCTGGTTGTAAGCACTGTTAAAATCCATGAAGAATGCCTTCTGTGCTGTCAAACAGAAGGCAGGAGCATCTCTGTGAGTTTGAGTCACACAGGGAGTTCCAGGCTAGCCAGAATTACAGAGTGAGACCCTGTTAATATCACCAAGAGAGTGTTCTTTACAGTCATACTTCAAGAGCCCCATGGTCATTTTCTCATAAATAAGAAAGACATGTCAGTGTGGAACAATTGACCCTCATTGGACACTGCCCGACTTTGCCTTGCTGTTTCGGGTGCCTTTTCCGACATAAAGCCACATGACTGCCTTGGGACAGCACCGGCCATTTTGAAGACTCCACAGGTACCTTGGAGAGACTAGAGGACAATCTGAGCTGGTAACCCGGGCTTCAGAAGGCACAGCCTCAGTCAGGCTGTTTCAGAGTGTCTAGCAGAGTTTTGCTATCACACAATTCTAGTTGACCCTTCAACCACTTCTACCCTGGCCAGAGGGGAGGGAGTCCCACCCTTCTCCCCGTGGCCTAGCAGAGGGGGTGCTGGGAGGTGACTGTGTAGGCTGCAGTACCCCTGCTATGGAGGTGGGCTGCCAGGTCATTCACTGGTCTGGAAAACAACTCTCTCCCATGGGACTGACATTTTAGGCCTCACAAAACGTTCTGTTGAGTCATCTTTTTATGGCTCTTCTTTCAGGACAGTGATGGAGAAGCAGGCAGCAGACAGTGCAGCAAAGGCTGAGGCAGGGGAGTGACAGCTGAGTGGTCAGCAGGCAAGCGACTGGATGTGTGGTAGCTGAAGCATCTGACAGGGGACGGGGCAGGAAAAGGAAGAGTCACAGCAGGAGAGGGCAGAGCAGTGTCTGAGGAAGGACAGAAGGGTTCACTCCAGAGGATGGAAACATCAGGCCCTGGTTCCCAGAATATGTCCGGGGAGCTGTGGTGTCTTTAGACACAAGAGCCTCACCAGGTCCAATAGCCACAGCACTGGTGAGTGCCAAGGAGGTCCTCCTTCCTAACCACGGGGTCCTGGGTCTATGCTAGTGTGAGGCCTGCTCACCTAGGGTACCACCTGCTGCTGCTCCCACCAGCTGTGCTTCTTCCCACTGCAGTGACACATGGAGGGCAATGGAGCAGCCCAAGCCAGCAGCTGGAGACCTTCCCTTCCCCCACACACAGTTTCTATATTCTTGCGGCGCCCGCACCAAAATAAACTCCAAGGTATCAGGGAAAGAAAGACCAGACGTCCACTTGTTTGTACTAAGAGAATGCATGTGTTGCCTTTATTGCCAGGAGAATGTGTGTGTGTGTGTGTGTGTGTCTTCATTGCAAGTACTAAGAGGTCTCTCTCCTGTAGGAGGGAGGAGCTTTATATACAGGTTTACAACGCAGTGGAAAAAAACCCAGGTAGAAGAGAGCATGTTTTCCTTCTGCTGAATGTTGATGTCAGAGGGTCAAGGCTGAGGCAGTAAGCCAGGACTAGAAAACAGGAAGCACTTGGACTGGAAAACAGGTTGTATGTAGGCTGACCAGCAACTCACAGAATCCTCGTGGGGCTGGGGACCAACATCTCCCCCCTTCTTTATATATAAATTAGAACTTATCTTAGGTGACAAGAAAGTCAATGCCAATCTTAGTATCAATAACCAACCTTGTATAAATGAAAACAAACATTTATAAACAATATTTGGGAATGTGGGCATCGTTCGTTCCAAACTACTTCCTGCTGTTAAGGGGCACTAAAATACCATGGTGATCAAGACAAACCCCCCCCAGAATCCTGTTGACATTCTTGTTTTTGTGGTCTGTAAGGCTGCATCATCTAAGGTGTTTAGATGTTGGATCACCTGGGACACTGCTTCAGGTGGTCTTGCTTCATCAAAGCACACTAGTCTAGAAGGAACCCATAGCTTTTTATGTTCTGTGGAAACAAAAGCATAAATTCTTTTCCCAAGTAACCTGTCCTTATATTTAAATTTAGAAGTCAAAGCATTTTCAAAATATATAAGTTAGATTAATTTACCAATATTAATAATCAAATGTCTTTTAGCAGTTTTTGTTCCTTTCTTAGCAATTAAACAGTTTAAAGACAACACAACTATACATAGTATCCAGACTCTGTGTGTATTTTCCGTTCCATACACTTTTATCTTTTCCTTTTCTTTTACTTAATACCAGTACCTCGTTTATTAACTGTTATCAATTTTTAATTTACCCACTTTTAATCTGTCCTCCAAGTGAGGGTGATCTCTCAGGTTCCCCTTTCTTTCCTGACCTTGGTGTCAGGAGAAGACCTGGAGATTTAATCCAATCCACCCTCCAACCTAGGGTGATCTCTCAGGTTCCCCTTTCTTTCCCAACCTTGGTGTCAGGTGAAGGCCCGGAGATTCAATCCAATCCACCTTCTCCTTAGAAAGTGATCTCTCAAGCAAAGCCTAGATATTTGATCATTCAATTTTACTTTTAGAAGTTGAGGCACCTCTTTTTAATTCTTTTCTTTCTCTAGTCTCTCCTCTCCTGAGTCTTCTTTTTGGCCAATCTTTCCCAGTCTTTCCAAGTCTCTCTAGATATCTGTGGGACCTCCAAATGTGGTGCCTGAGCCATAAGCAACTCCAAGGTATCAGGGAAAGAAAGACCAGATGTACAAACGGTTTGTACTAAGAGAATGCATGTGCTGCCTTTATTGCCAGGAGAGAGAGTGAGAGAGATAGACAGAGAGAGTGTGTGTGTCTGTATTGCAAGTGCTAAGAGGGGTCCCTCTCCTGTAGGAGGGAAGAGCTTTATATACAGGTTTACAGCACAGTGGAAAAACCCCAGGTAGAAGAGAGCATGTTTTCCTCCTGCTGAATGTTGATGTCAGAGGCTCAAGGCTGAGTCAGTAAGCCAGCACTAGAAAATAGGAAGCACTTGCACTGGAAAAGAAGTTGCACTTGTAGGCTGACCAGCAACTCACATAGATCCTGTGGGGCTGGAGCCCAACATCTTCTGAGCAAACAGATCCCAGACAGCTATCTGGGGACACACCTGCTTCAGCCTCCCATAGTGGACTCTGCAGCTCACCTGATGACCCTGTGTCCCCTGAAACTAGAACTTATCATCTACCTGACCTGTCAGTCACTGGAGCATCTCTGTATGGGGTAGGACACCATTTCCCATGATCATGACCACAGTGAGAACCAGGGTCTCCCAATGCTCTGCCTTCACTGGGTGGTGTGCTCCCTGTCACCTGGCTGTGAGATCTGATGCTCAGATTCATCAAGCACCATATCAGAGGGACAGACAGCTACGGCTTCAACTCGGTTAGGCCATGCACAGCAACCACCACCTTGAGCCTTGGTCCCCAGGGTGGTCGTGCTGACAGGCAGTTATGGCGGTGGCTGTAAACCAAGTGGAGCCCCTGCTCTAGGACTGACTTCCACCAGCTCCTCTCACCTCCCCACCCCCCACCATGAATTCACACAGTGCAAGCAGTGTCTAGATGTGGCTGCTCTATCTGGGACTGTCAAGACTCCTACCATGAACCAAGTTAATTTCTCTTTCACATACAGCACCGAGTCTGGGGAATGTGGCCATAGCAATGGAATACAGATTACAACACCACAGTGCACATGGACCCTGTACATGAGAACAGGCCTGGCCTCCACCACAGCACAGGGCTCTGAACCCAGTCCCTGCTTCCCCAGCTCTTCTTGCCTTGGCTG